TAAACCATAGTTTAATATAGTTTAATTCAATTTTTCCTCGTGCTACTTGACTCTAGTTTAACTTAAGATTCTTCCAGCCGGGACATCTTCGATGGTGGGAACCATCCGCGCATCTGCACTACCAATGTTCACTTGCATGCACAATTTCAGATTTTATGGAATGTCTAATTTAAATCTCGCGGATCATTCGCATGCCTGTCTCATAGACCCCTCGCCAATTGTGAGATATAATTGAGGTTGAGTGATACATCACATGACTGCAATAACTATTTTTTGTAAACTCTGTCAACCTTGACCGAGTTCCCCGGGACCTGCTTCTGGATGAATATAATTAAGGTTCAAATAAGAAACTCATCGAACCAAACTTGACTTTGAAACTCATCGAACCACACTTGACTTTTGAATATTGTAATGTTGTGTTACATAAAATGATGGTCAGGTCCTGCTGAAAGTTTCTCCTGGGGACGTTCCTTCCGGGATGTGACAATCACCTGCCACTCAAGACGCACTGGTGGGAGGTGCTTATCTTCTGCTCAGGGTCTAAAACATGTTGTATTCTGTAGTACTGTGGGACGTTCTGGCTGCGACGTCTCACATCCCAACCAGGTTGTACCAGGGATGTGTTCGGGACTATGTTTTGGCGACTGGGAATTTTTAGCTTATTTTCGTCAAAAAAAAAAAAAACACGGTAAAAGAGATAGCCAAACGGACAAAATTTTAGGTAAAAGGACTGTACTCTCACGAGTTACCCCTTAAGAGATCGTAAATAAGATATGTTTTTCTAACTTTTCTGACCTACCCCCTTCTCTTTTGATACCCCCTTTCAGCCCCTTAGGGTTGGTTGCCAGGATTCGCCGTAGGCGTTTTGTTTTCTAGGGGTGAACCTTAAGATACCGGTATCTGGTATATCAGGGCCCTGAAAATTTGAAGTCTCTAACACTTTTCCATCTTGTGAAACAAACAGACACACAGATAGACATGAGGTCGTTTGCATAAGCCCGCTAGATAGCTTTTCTAAAGCAGAAGAGCGGGCTAAAAAGCAGCAAACATATGGTTCCAGTAATGGTTAACGCCCAGGGCGTTCCACTGGCGCTCCAGCACCTCCACGTCAAACGCAGCAGCTGGAAAAATATTCACTTTTATTATTGCTGAGCTTAACTTGAACATGAAATTAAACTTAAACTTTAAATGCTCAGCTCTGTCAGGAAGCGCAAGGGGAGACCGCCCGGAAGATGGCGTGAAGTGAGGCGCCTGGCGTGAGACGTGGGATGTGAGGTGGACAGGCAAGGCATGCCAACCAAAATCGCGAAAACATTTTAATTTTAGCGCGCCGCAGGCCAAGGTAGACGCACATTTAGCTCAGCTTCACACGGTTTTAACGTGCGTCTATCTGCGAGATACTAGATAATCCAGGGAGCCTTAAGCCCTAAAGAGGGTGTGATTCGACCCGTAATGTGTAGTTTAAGTATTACTTCCTTTACAATTCTGTGACATGAAGAATTTTTTACGATTTAATAGACCATTTTGTCTTTTCCAAGTTGTTTTCGCCAAGAAAGGCCCCATAGCGCCAAAACGGTACAAGATAGAGCAAAACGGACGAAATTTTCGGTCGAAGGATTCTATTTTCACGAGTTACCCCTTAGGAGCCCATAAAAAAATATTTGAAACAAAATATATTTTGCAACCTGAGGTTTTTGATTTTTTTAAAAGCCAATTTTTGAGCTCGAATGCTCATCTTCGAACTTGATCTGTCTTTTTATGATACAAAACGACCCTGAAATTCCCAGACCGCTCTCTCAATTCTTTCTCGAGTTATCGTGTGGACAGACGGACAGACAAACAGAGCAACAGACAAACAAACAGACAAACAGAATGACACTTTTCCGGTCAGTGGAGTAATGGGCTTCGCTAATCGCTCAGCCAATAAACGGACCCTTAGCAAAGAAAATTTTCTATTTTATAGTTTCGAGCAATATTTTTTCAATATAGAAGTTTGCGCCGCGTCATTGCGCCCTCTCACTTGTACAATCTGCTTTTCGACGCCATGTAGGCATTTCATGCCTGCTCGCTGCATTGTTCTTGTTCTTGATGTGTCTCTTTGCGTGATTTTTTTTTTTGAATTAGCCTATTATTACTTTTATAATTGAACACAATTTTTGGCATGAGCGCTGGGCCGCGCGCGCGGCGTCTACTCCGAGAGCAAGGTGTCCATTGTTGCTCTGGTACTCGGGCGTGGGTGTGGAGCTGCTTAACAGGTGGTGTTGAACCATGACGCTCTCCCCCCCGCGCCCCAACTGTCTTGCATAAACGGGTCCGTTTAAAAACCTCTGTTTAGGAATTTTATTGGCATACAAAAATTGAAGTTAGTGATTTTGAAGTTGGGATTATTACGATTTGCGGCAAAAATAGTACGGAAATGGCGTAGACGGCGTACACCGAATATTGAACAGAACCATTACGTGACGTCTTACGCTTCGTCTTACGTTTTATGAAGACGTAACGTAAGACGACACGTAAGACGTAACGTAAGACTTTCAACATGTGGATGCGTCATACAGCATTAACAAGTGGAAATGTTTTTGTGAATAAAGACTCTGATTTTTCCAAAATGAATGTTGAGGAATTGAAACAACGTATTGATAATGATCCTAGTATTATGAAGAAATTAATGTTCATGGGTTCTCACATTCGTGGATCAAAGGCATTTTGGAAGAGCAGATCAGGTGAATTACGTGATATGATAGAACAATTGGGACTACCAACTATATTTTTAACAATGAGTGCTGCAGATCTTTTTTGGCCCGATCTTTTTCGTTTGCTATGCAACAAAGATATTTCACAAATTACAATGAGGGAACGTAGGATTCTAATTCAAGAGAACCCATTAATTGCTGATTTGTTTTTCCAACACAGGCTGGAATGTTTTGTTGATACTGTAAGTTGTCTTCTGTTGTTGTGATTAATGTTGAAAGTGTTATGTGTTATTTGATATTGTATGTTTTATGTTATACAGGTTCTTGAACCAGAATTTCAAGTTGTTGATTTTTGGTATAGGATCGAATACCAACACAGGTGAGGATTAATTGTGGTTATGTATGTTATTATTTTTAGTAAGTTGGGCTCATATAATTTTAATTCTTCTGTAGGGGCTCGCCTCATGTCCATGGCTTGTATTGGTGTAAAAATGCAGTTGATGTGTCTAACATAGCTAATGCGACTGATGAAGAAAGGAAAAAGATCAGCATGTACTTTGACAAATTAGTTTCTGCTGTTTTGCCAGACAAAGATTGTCCAATGCCTGACCAACATCCTTGTGAAGTTCGTTTTGAAAATGTAACTGATGTTGATGAATCATTATCACAGTTATTGAAGTCAGTGCAGAGACATACATGTTCTAAAGCCTATATACAGAGAACTGATAAAAAAACCAAACAAACTGTTTGCCGATTCCATTTTCCAAAGGAAATTAGAGATCATTCAGAAATAATTGTGAACCCTGAAACTGGTGAAGTGGAATTTTTACCCAAGTGTAATGATGAAAAATTAAACAAGTTTCATCCGTTCATCATAAGCACATGGAGAGCAAACATAGATATTGCTCCTGTGTTATCAAAGAAAGCAGTTGTTGCGTATCTTACCAAGTATGTTACTAAAAGTGAAGTCGGGTCTGATACATTGAAGGAGATTTGTTCTAAAGTTTGTTCCAGTATGGTGTCTTCCGAAAAAGCCACGAAAGCCATTCAAAAAGTTTTAATTAAAAATTGTGTGGAACGTGATATCTCTGCCCAAGAGGTGTGCCATATTTTGATGGGTGCAAAGCTTTATTCAGCTAGTGGTCGTAAATTTGTTGTAGTCTTTACCAAGGAAACTGCTTGGGTTCCTCTAGAATGTAATGAAGTAAGTGAAGTGAACAATAATTCTGAGAATAGAGAGGGAAAAACTTTTTTGGCAAAGTATAAAACCAGACCTGAGCAGTTGTGTAATGTATCTTTGTATAACTGTGCAAAATATTATAATAGCAGCACCTGGAAGAAACTGAAGAAAAGAGATAACATTGTTCGTGTTTTTCCACGTTTAACTTTATCTGACAATGAAGAGAAAAATGAGTTATGGTATAGGCAACAAGTACTATTGCATGTACCTTTTGTTTTGGAAGATGAATTGAAAGTAGAAGGTGAATACTGGAAAAATGTTTATGATAGACAAAATGTAGCTCACATTAAGAAGACATGGTGTTTTAATAACGTTAATGTTGAACCTGGAGAAGCAGAAGAAATTGAAATGTTGTGTGAAAATGATGAAAGAAATGGAGATTGGATGATTGCATCTCGCCTATGTGCTAGTTCTATGGTTCAACCAGTTGAACTGGGATCTAAGAAAGTGGATGTGAATCATGATTGGCATAGTAGTGCTTCAAAATATGAGTCATTTGGTAATTTTAATTTTTTCAAGAACTTCATTGAAAATGAAAAAAAGAAAGATGATGTTGGTCCTGTTGTCAATGACATGCCAGATGTAATTTTCTCTGCCGAACAAAATGTAAAAATGTTTCTGGGAGAACAAATTAAAGCTATAAATAATTGTAATGAACAGACAGGTCTTCATAGAAGAGTGTTGGTGCAAGGCAAAGCTGGTAAGATCTTTGAAATTTGTGGTGAGTTGGTTTAATTTAATTTGTGCATTTCTGGAACAAAATTTGCTTTTTCTTTTGCAGGCACTGGTAAAAGTTTATTGAGAAAGTTTTTAGTAAACATATTACAGAAAGAGTTTGGACAGGATTACAAGTAAGTAAACTAAACCTTTTTAAAATCTTTATTCTATCATGGTTCACTATAAGTATTTTACTTTTTTCTTCTATTTTACTTGTACTATATTCATGAACCATGCAGTCGTTACGTGACCCATCTTTCCCATAGAAAACAATGAATGGAGGTTTCTTGTCTTGAATATGCTGGTTCAACTCCTTAACATCATCTTCACTTAGGTTGTTGTATAAGCCTGGCATTGATACGTAGTATTTTTTGCCCGTCTCCTTGTCCTGGCAATATGCTACCAGCAGGTCAGGAAAGGTGTTGGTCTGCTTATCCTTATATTCACTTGGCTTTTGGACGAACTTAAAGCAGACATATGGCTTGCCCCTAGTAAGGTCTGATGGTGACCTTCTGCTTGCGTGGCCACCATGCCTTTCCTGAATTCTTGCGAACACACCGCAGACATCTGAGAAAAAGGAAAAAGTAGCGGAAATTAATGAGATTAAACCTCTGGGATTTCATGGTGGAATGGCCGAACAACTATTGTCAAAGTCCTGAGGTTTTTGGGAGGACTCCATAGATTTTGCATGTTGACCAAGTTTCAAAACACATACGCAACAAGGAATTTGAACATTGACTTTCAGCATGACATCAAAACGGTCTCCTATTTTGACGTATTCATCACTCTTTATGGCATTTGGACCAAGATTTGACTTTGAGTCAAATCAGACTTCAAACTTCAAGAAAAGTCATGAAAGACATCAAAAGAAAGGACCATTGTGACGTCATGCTGTCGGTCAGTGTTCTAATACCTCTTTGGGTAGACAAGAAATAATTTGCTAACTTCAACTGCTATTTTACAACATGAAAAGTAACAACAGTTTAAGAAAATTTAGTAGTGGTCTATAGTGATTGTGATTATCATGGAAATCCAAACAAAATGACAGTACAAGCAATGGCACATTTGATAAATCATTCTTATTAATTTCAGTTGTGTGAAATGATCAAAGTTTGAGTTACAAATGTAACATCTGCTAAAAAGTTGATTAGTTGACAGAGACTAATAAGTGACAAAACTAAAGGCGTGGGGGTAACTGATGTGACATTTACCTTTGAGCAGTATACAGCAGCGTAAACGACGATGGACGGTACACAACGTGCAGCGATAGAACTGACCAAGTCAACTGTGAAGAGCGTCCGGTGGCCGGTCGTTTTGATTCCCTTCGTGCTTGTGAGACGTATGTTCGTGTTGGTGCTGCCAGGTGTTGCCGATCGTGAATAGGTGTCATGCGCTTACGAATATCATTATTTTGGAACCAATTATTCATTTTATTTTGTTTTATTATTTTTTTACTGTTAAGTTTTTATTTTTCATGCTTAGACAAACGTTAATTCCTAAAGAGTGACAATTTCTTTGTTTTTTTGTGTGTTGATGTACATTTGGTAAGAAGAAGGAAGGAAGAAGTTGACAGTTTCCGTTGTTGACTCCTGTTCCGTTTCCGTTACGTTGATTCTCTTTCATTCCAGGCGGAGGCGTGGTGCGTGGTCCTGGGTTGACGTTTCTTTGATCACGATGAACAGGTATTTGGTATTTTAGCCCTTATGGCCAGGGAGGATCGGCGTACGGGGCCGACTCGGTGTTGTTTGCCGGGCCCCGTTCCAGTGTTCAAAGTGGCGCTTGATCATTGGACTCTGTCCTGGAATTGCCTCAGTTGTAGTTACCCTCGACTCTGATTTGTGAATAGTATTTTGCCATGTTTTAATTAACGGCTGCTATGGTTAGGAAAACGGTAATTTTAAAGTTATTGTGATATCATTGTAAGGTTTAATTAACATTTCTACAAGTTTACACCGGAAGAAGAAGTTATTTCAGAAACATGGCGTGGCTGTTATTGGACGCCATGCGTTGCAGTCTTGAAACAACTTCTTTCTTCGGTCTTGGGTCATTTGATGTAATGAGGATCCGAGTTGTCAATAGAATGGTTTAATAGTGTTCCAAGTAGAACACCAGCTATTTAGATTGTTCAAAGTTTACTTTTGGCAACTAATAGGTGCTGGTTTTCTACTAGTGAATAATCTGGATGATAGATGCTTGAACTTGCAGTATAGTTAAAGTTATTTCACCAAATGTACCTGGCCTATTACATATAGTTGTACGTCAGAACATTCTTGACTGCACGAGGGAATTCAGATCTTTTGACAGGTTACTGCTGTTTAAACTGGAATGGCTATCATTGAGATATACAAGGGAATGCTGTTTGAGTGTGACGATGCATGTTTCATTTCCTTTGCATTCGTTTTGTTTCATTGTGAAAGGTGACTTTACAACTTATTATTTTTATAGTGCAAAATTTAGGCATGGCTCTAATTTGTTGAGATACGTTTACATCAGTTGAGTTACTATCTCATTCAGGTTTGAATTTCGCCTGGAAGTACTGACTGTGAGCAGGCAATCTAAATATATACATTAGGCGTGGCTGAATTGTTTATTGTTTCAATCATTTATTTACATCAACCATCTCATTTGGGTTAGAATTTCACCTGGAACTACTGACTGTGGGCAGCCAATATGTTAGCACCTCATTCGGGTTTTAACTTTTCCTGGAAGTGCTGACTGTGAGCAGCCAATATGTTGTTACCATCTCATCGGGGGTTTGAACTTCGCCTGGGAGTACTGACTGAGCTGCGAGCTGAGGTAAATAAGGGAATCGGCAGCTTCTCTTTTGCATCTTTGAATTGTGCCTGGATGCGGATGTTCCAAAGTCATGAAGATGTCCTGTAAACCTAAGGAAGAGGGGGGGGGGTCCTTTCTATGGTTTTGCTTCATGTCAAATGTAATCACCCAATTGGGGGACCTCATGCGCTTCTAAGGTTGATACCATCAATATTTGAAGTTCAAAGTACATATTATCAAGTTGTGTTGTGTAATTTTTTTTGATATTCTTAAATATTTTTGTAAGAGTGTGTGTAATTAAAGTGTTAGACTTTAAACTGTTATATTATTAAATAAAAATCTAAAACGTATATATCTGTGTTATTTTACCTATATATCAAGTTGATCTTATCCATTTAATTCCACAAATTTTACATTTCGATTCATCTTTTATGTTCCATCAGAAACAAAATTGGGGTCGGGGTTATGGACACAAACCACACTAACCATTGCAGAAGTATGCGAGGAATAACAAAATTATAATGGAGGATGGCTGAAAGGCGGTGCTTTGTACGAGCACAGTAATAATGCAGTAAACTTTTCAAGAGTATTTAGTAATTTAACCAGGCTGTTTTATCACACACGTTAGTTTCATTTTTTATTTTTTTGACCAGTCTTCCGGAAGGCCTTGAGCTCAGCCAACAGTTCGTGACTGCTACTAACTAGTATGCAAATCATATATGGCCATATACAACCCCATTTACCTGGGCCTCTCAGAATTTCAGCACACTGACTAACGCTCAGCCACTACGGACTGCTGCACGTATTCGTACTCCCACGCTTAGAAGAAGCAGTAGCAGTGCGGTCCAGCACTTTTCAATGTGCTTAAGCTATCCCTTCTAGGCGAAATCGTCAACGGGCCGAGCAGACAGAAAGCGAGGGGTGGGGGAGTGCCGCAGCCGCCGCAGCCGCCGCAGCCGAAGCGAGAGCCGAGCGGCGCCCGAGCGGCCGGTGAACTGCGTGGGTTTCCAAGAGGAGCGGCGAACTGCGTGTCTTTTGGATAAAGCGGCTGAACTGCGTGAGTCTTGGATCAGGTGGCTGAACTGCGTGCCTTTTAGTCTAAGGTATCGACTTTACGATCTTGGCACGGAACTAATGTTATAGCAAGACCCCTACCTGGACATAATAAGCCAAATTTCCTCGTTCCGTTCTCTACATTTCTAGAAAAAGGGGTGTCCTTCACTGGGCAGATGCATCTCTTAAGGTGTCCATCATTGGGCATCTTACCCATATGTAAAATGAGTAAGTCTTCTTGTGAGAGGACTTCATGACGCCGTGTGACCCGCAACACCTGGCGAGCTAATTGTGTCAATCTGATAATCAATAGGGCTGTGTAGGCCACGCTCTCGGAGAAGCGTGCACCGCACTGGGTCCGCACCTTCAGGCCGACTAAGAAGTGTGTGCTTGTGATTCAGTCTGCAGATGAGTCAGCGCCGAAGTCCAAAGCCTTTAGGAATTAAATAGTCTACAGTAAATACTTGTGAGAAGTAAGCTCAAAGTTTAAGAATTGCAGGTAATCAAATCCTTTCAGAAAAAAATTCAAGGTAGGTTTAACGTAAAAATGTTCATTGCACTGGTACACCAAGTAAATGTCTGGTGAAATTTAGAACAAAGCTAAAATTACTCCCTATTTTTTACTCGTTCTTTACCTCCCTCCCTCCAAACATCACTTTGTGATGTGGAGGTGAAAGAACGAGTATTGTGCTCGGAAACTGGAATACATACAGACAAGTGCATTATACCAAACGATAGGGTTTTACCCAGTAATGACCCCGTACTAGAGGTTTTTTCCTCTTTGATAGCAAATTTTAAAGAAAACAAGATTTATAATCTCTGTCCGCGTCGCGCAGAGTTCAAAAATGTGGTGGCAAATGTGGTATTTTGAAATGTCAATAATTTTGTTCTTCTGGTGTAATTCAACGAAAACTGATTACCATCATAAATGTGCCATGCGTGCCATGCTTTCCAAAGTAATTACCACTCGAAATTCATTCTCTTTAAAATGTTTCTGATTAGGTTCACTTCGGACTTAAAACAGTTTTAGCGGTGGTGAAGGCGTTGTGCGCACGCGCGAACTTGTAATGCACATAAATACGAGAAATTGGATTTATTCAGTGTGTTTGTCAACACTTTTAATTTTCATAAGCAATCATTTTGAGTTTGTTTGGAACGTGGGGAAGTCGCTGTTTTCCGTAAAATGACAAATGAAATTTGAGGTTATGTTGGCCTTTGTCAAATAAATCAGCTCACGAGGTGTCAAGGGGGTCTTCCCCAAAAGGAAGCCTGTAAAAGTTCTTCAATCAATCCGGGACGGTAGTCTGACCGAGACTATCTGAATATAAGAGTGTGATTCGAAAATCCAGTATTTTTGACGTACGGG